TAACGTAAAATAATTTACATATGGTTAATTTTTAAGTGGAACATGTAGCTTGAATAATGTAGTAGCTCTACTATTAGTACGATATATTTGAAAAGCTTTTATTTGTATTTTTCGAACTGTCAGTACATACATTTAGTGTTCAACATTCAACCAATAAGGTATACTTGATGTCGAGATATGTAATTAAAAATATCTTCTCCCGGGTTCTTTAAAAATCGTTCAGCCCTCATGAAATAGTAATAGTTTTTTATGATAAGAGTACTTGGATTTGCAGTTGCGCGTTCTGTTAATATTAGCGTATACGTATATTATATTACTAAATTAGTTCTCCGTTGAAACTGAGAGAGAATTACGCCTCTTCGTATTCGAATTTTGCATGCATATACAACGATGTGATACTAAATGATCATTGGAGTGGTTAAAATAAGTAAAACCGATAAAATTATTAATTTTTCCCAATATAATTCTAGTATATACTCTAGACATTTGCGTACAAATATGCAACAGCAAATTTAACTAAAAAACGATACTACCCTAATCAGCAATTTTGAAATTAAATTTGACGTAAAAATAAAAACTAACGATGTACAACGAATTATTATTAACAATATTTACTTGCTTATCTTAATTTTATGGTGCAAAATTTTAATCAAATGAATTTACCTCATACGTTGTTAAATGGATAGACATGACGTAAAAATACGTATATAGAAGGTAATCGAACACTGTCTACTGTTCAATGTAACTCATTTTGACACTATGTTTATTCAAAAAAACGGGGTGAAATATATCTATACATGTATGTAGGATGTACCTGTACAGGACATAAAAATAATATTAACAATGCTATTTCATTGCACTAGCGAACCCATCCATTTAACTATCCCCCTCCCTTCATTGTGTTATATGTATATATACGAAATTTCTGAATTTTCCTTTTTTTTTGATTCTGAAATAAGGGAAGGAATAATTATTTTTACCATTTATTTTTTTTACGAATATCCGATATTCTTATACACAATCAGAAATTGTAATGTAAGTATGTTATAACTTAGCTCGTTATAGTGTTTTAAGTCATACACTTTCGAGTACTATTATGTGGCACATAAGGTATAGAGTGAAAGTATGGAATAAGGAGCACTGGCACTACTAATACTATTATTTTTTTCTTAATTTTTCGTTGTAAAGTTTCATTAAACTGCATTTTTACAAGTTATTGAAGTTTTTGAATACCCATTATTAATTTAATTAGAATTTAAAATTTTGGAATTATTTTCTAAACATCAGTAGTTATGAACTATTGGAACTAAACTAACTTTAATAACCAATATACGATAAATATCGATTTGATATTAATAAATACATAATGTATTTTATAATTTATAAATACTTCCGAGAAAATATTCATACATTTTAATAATTCACAGGCATTCTTGTAAATTTTCTAATAAATTAGTGTCGTATAGAAAAGTTAGGTTTTAAATAATTCAAATGTTATAACATTTATAACGAAAAATATTTACATTAAAATATAACGTCATTATGGAGACAAATTTTAAACTGGATTCCATTTTATATATTATAGTTGTTAATTTAGCTACACGTTTTTTTTTTTTTTTAAGAAAACTTACGTCATACACAACAAATATTTATTAAAAAAAATGTTTATTGTTTTATATTTACATTTCTGAAATTTTGTTACAATTTATATTTTATTTTAAATTTCTTGAATTCTGTTTAATTTAAATTTACTTAAATGTTAACCAAATATTCATGGTGCTTTATATATACTATGTATACTTAAGGGAATAGGTAAAAATAAGTTAAAGGGAGTTGATATATTTAGGTAATAATTATTTTATTATTACCTATTTATTTACTAATCTAATTTTTCTCAATATGGGGAAGTTCAACTCTAAACCACTCACCCTATTACTTACAATACTGTGTACACTGCAATGAAGAAAACCAAATAGAAAAATATTGTTTATAGGTTTTTTTCGAGATTTAAATGAAATTATCAGCTGCTAATGGTTGGTTTAATTACATACGTCTAATTGTTATATATAGCAAAATTGAAATCAGACAATTTCATTACATTGTTTTTGAATAAGAAATATAAAATAATATATTCATAATTAATTTGCATTTATAAATAGAATATTATTTTTTATCGTCCACAGACATTTTTGAACTTTTATATTACTTCATTATATGACAGCTGAAAAGATTTTGATAAATTAATTTGTGTCACGTCTACTTTTCATCCTAGGGAAATGCCATTGACTCAATGTAATTCAATGCATCACAGTAAATTTAGTGTCATTCAAAAAATAATATGATTGAATTATTTCAGTGAAAGATATGACGTCAAACATCAAACCGTAATATTTAATTAATAATATTTAGGTGAAAATACGTTTTATACATTTCTTTCATGTATTAACGCATATTAAATACAATCTCGAATGCTACGAATATGTCATGCTATTGAACCACAATATTTATTTTAAAATACTAAAAAATAAATAAAGAAGAGTTAAAAAAATAACCAGCCAATAATACACGATTAATACGAGTATGTCTCTTAAATAATATTAACATTTTATAACTCGTAGTATGTAATTAATATTATTAACGTGATAATAGGAAACATTTTCCTTTTTTGAAAGTTGTAAACAAAAATTTACTAAGCTATTAAAAACAAAATTTCAATAATGAAATGAGTCTTATGATATATCTACTCTAAAGCAAAAGGTCAAGGACAAATTTTATCCATAACGCATTAACGCATGTACGATTATTGTAAACAACTAAATTTTACGAGCGGCTTAAAATTGCAATATAATTAACGAGTGATATTAAAACCTATTTTAGATTTTAAGCAGAGCAAGACAGAAGAAACAGTTGATTTATAATTATGTGGTTCAGTTTAAGAAAGATTTTTGAGAAATAAAACTTTAAGTGCTTTAAGAGTTTTACATTAGATACACCCCATCTGCAACGTCCAGCGGTAGATGTAGTTTATTCTCGTTTAATCTATTATTTTTTTTCTATTAAGCTTTTAAAAAATGTATTCAAGTAATAAAACGAAAAAATAAAGATTAAATGTTTACGATTCATCGTTATAAAGAATCATCATGCAGCCTTTTTCGCTATCGTTTTTATTCCAGTTTCGCTTACTTTGTTAATATTCTGCAACCGAATGAGTAAACCAGTGGAAAAGTGAATAATAAACAGTATTTTTTATGTTGGTTTTATATTAAAAATTCCCAGCTTGGGCTATCTATATCTAAGTAATAATGTATTTAAACAATTGATTATTTTAATTATTTAAATGTATAAAAATGAAAAGAGCACGGCGCAAGAAAATAAAAATAAATTATTGATTTTTACGTGGAAGTCATTATATTAGATTCGAATTCAACACGTTCAAAATTCCGATCATTAAAATAATTCTCATAAGACTCACGATATTACGCCGACTTTGCAGTGTCATGTGTTCCTTATTATTTTCAATAATTTATAATAACAATATTCGCACATTATTTGGATACAAAAAACTTGTATGGATATTTTTAAAGTATAGTGTAGTTGTATAGAAATTGAATTAAATTAATCGAGTAAATATTTTACTCGTAAAAATACTATGTTGATGATTATTTACTTTATACGCATTTATAATTATTTTTTAATATTGATAAACAACATACAATAAGAATAAATCACGGTTATATTTTATGAATTACATAGAAATCAATCTCTAAACGCATTTGCGCGTTGTGCTAAAGTCGTTGTTAAACGATTGGTGCACGAACACGGTCGATGAGTCGATTTTAAAATACGTAGGTATCTCATACCCGGTGACATTTGGAAAATATTTCACTAAATTGATGACTAAAATCGAAAACCGAAAATCGCGGATCTTACATACATCTCGATCCAAGACTTGGAAGGAACGGCTTCGCCTGCGACCGCTGTTCTTGATGGTCACGACGAGCGAATTCTTCTACGAATGCGCGTTCGACACGTGTGCCCTGAGAAGCCTAACGTCTCGGAACGTTATCCGTTTTCGTTAATTGAACGTATGACCCGTGCGACACGCGCTATGAGGATAACGGCTTTCTCGGGCGAATTCCAGCGTTCGGTGCCAGAACGACATTGAAAACGTTGCGCTCGGTGTTTCGTTGACACGAATTCGCTGCGAGTTTCTCGCAAAAGTGATGTTTTTTTTTGTTGGGGAAAAAACCAAAGGACAAGACCGTGTTTTGAATTCGAGCGTGCCAGGGTCGATCTCAGCGGGCGAGTGGAAAGGAAAACCGTTAGCGTCGCCAGCGCGTGACGTAACAATTTATAGCGGGGAACATCTATAAAAAAAAATGTAATCCGGTAAGCCAAATCTGTTCGTAAAACTGTATACGAACGCGCGGGCGCGCGCATGTTTGTTTATCAAATTGATTCGTTTTATTCAAATTTTTTTGATCGAGCAGCGGTGGAGAGAGCGAAGAGATATTTTTACAACGGGCGTCGTCGTCGTCGTCGTCGTCGGGACAAATGGTGCGGGGGAGAGGACGTAGTAAACGTCGCCCCGGGGCTGCTGCGGACACCGCTACTACTGCTACAGCCGCCGCCGCCGCCGTTGGTGTTGCCGCTGCGGCTGCCGTATTACGATGGTCGATTATTTTCGGAACAGCTCGGCCTCGTCTTGTTCGCTCCGCCGCGTCCCGCAACGGGGCCCCACACCATTGATCCCTGACCGCTCCGCGTAATATTACTCTCGCTCGCGCACGGTTATCGAAATCTATTCTAGCTCGCACGCACGCGCCATTAACCAAAAGCGTCGAGATCGAAGCGCGTAGACAAGATCAAGACGTTCGTGTATTCCGACGAGGGCCTAGGACGACGACGTCGACAACGATATCGTCTTGTGCTCGTCGTCAAATCACCGTGAAAACGTTAAAAACCGTATAATACGGCGATGCATGCTCGTGTTTACGTACCTCTTTGTCGACGGCGGCGGTCGAGTGTCAACTGTTGCGGTACGAAGACTATGTTACGGTGCGCGGCATGAACGGACGACACACACTGGCGTGCACTGCGGTAATGGAACGAAAAACGAAAAAAAAAAAAAAAGTATAAACTTTCACTGGACAAGTGCCGGACCGCGCGCGTGGTCTAGGTATACGGAGGTATTAGTACTACTACTACTCGGCGACGGCGGCGGCGGCGGCGTATTTATTTTCGTATCGCGGCGTCCGCGTTTGCGTAAACGGCAAACGGTACGGTATATATTAAAAACCTATACCCGAATACGTGTATTTATGTTGTACCGATGGGGCGCGATTAACGTGTATACGAGAATTTGCGCACGCAAGGTTTTCGACTGCAACTGTTGTGGTTATCGTTCGACCGTCGTTTCCGGCGATCGTCGTCACGACGAAAACGCGCGTGTCGAACACATTTCGTATTTTTTTTCGTTTCCGAACGCGTGCTCTCATCAAGTGGACACCGCGACGACCACGACGAAGACACTCCGCGGAAAGCGACGCGATAACGAATGCCGCACGAAACGGGAGAAGTTGGGATCGCGGAGCGGAGAGGCGACCGGCGCTCGGGCGTCCCGCGACGGGAGGAAGGGACACGCGCGCATCCGCCTAACCGTTCGCACGACTGCCAACCGTATGTGGCGGCGGCGGCGGCGGCGGCGACAACGAAGCTTATAATATTATACACGGTCCGTGCGTGGTCTGCGAAGTGTGCCCGCCGCGCGCGGAACGCACCGAAAAGCGCGCGACGGCCAAAAAGCGTTTTCACGGCGAAATATTTTCGACCCGAAGGTTTCGCCGCGATCCGTTTCACTCGGTCGGCCGACGACGAGGCGGCATAAACGCGCGCGGCGCATAGGTGTACCGCGCGGGTCCGCAGCGTCGTCACGGGCGGGCGGGCGGGCGAGCGGGCGGTGAACACGGTTGGGCGCGAACAATTACCGGCGGCGGCGACATTGTCTGCGGCCGCAGCGATGATAATTATCGGCCGTCTAGACTTTGCGGGCGCGCGCTCGGTACGTAAAACGTGCGTGTATTTTATGTGCGCGATCAAGTGTATTTGTGTACGCGCGTGTGTGTACTAAGTGCGCGAGCGAGAAAAGTAGCCGCCGCCCGGTCGGGACGCAGGTCGAGAGGTCATACACACATCAATACGTGCGTGTGTACGGTCGCGGCGGCGGCGGCGGCGGCGGCGGTCGGGTGTACACACGCCATACACACAATCACATCCCCGGGGCCGCCCTGGGGGTATTTTATCCCCGGCGCGTTCACCGCCCCGCCACCCGTCCGTAAGCCGCCGTCGCCGAGCGCTCGTGCGCGCGCGCGTACACCTCGACCCGCCGACAAGTCGAGCCCCTCC